TTCCTATTACAATACTCCTCCATCTTTCTCAGCATGCTTTTCATTTCTTATTCTCTTTCCGCAAACAAAACCATATCATCCGCGTATGCGAATGAGAGTATCCTCTTCTCTCTTACCCTTACACCACCCCATCTTCCTTTTATCAATTCCTCCTCTAAATCTGCTGTCAATATGTTGAAGAGTATCGGACTCATTGGACATCCCTGTCTGACCCCTTTTGTCGTCCAGATTTTATTCCCTTCCACCCCTYCCATTGAAAAATTAGTATAGGTTTCTTAAATACGCAAATATTACAATTCTTAATAGGTATAATTTTCTTATATGCGATTTGAAATGTGACAGTAATTTACTTGTTTTTAAATGGAATTTGTCAGCTRCATTTKTATTCAACAGTGTTCTCAATTCTTTTTCTCTAATGTATCTTGCAATACTTCTTTTTATTTTTTAAATAATTCAGACAATACAATTAATATATATTATCTTTGTATTTTATAATTATTAATTTTAATATTTGCGAAATAAAGAAAATTATAATAATTTTTCTATAAAATAGAATGTGTTGTGCTAACTACGTGTTTGATTAATTTTATTCTAATCCCTTCTTTCTCATCCCCAGTAACTAATTACCAGAGGACTCTTAATTGAGGAGTCWAGGCCGTAACAGGTAGGTCTGACAAATAATAACGCAGAGTTATAATAAAAAAAGTAAGATGTAATATTTATTATAAGTGTAGGAAAAATTGGTATTTAGTCATTTCATCTTCAGTTATATATATGTAAGAGTGCGAGTGTATGGTGTACATGGAAGTGGTTGATGAAAGATTTGTAGCRATATGGATATGAGTRTGAGTACACGCAGCGATATGGATACGAGTGCATGTGGCAAGAAAGAAAAACGTACGATATTGGCTGACGTCATCGTTTCTAAACACCCCGAAATCTCTCGAATGTTCCCGAACCGGAAATCGGGAAGAAGTCTTTTTGTTTGACCGATTAGGAATAGTCTGAAGATTTCTAGAATGATCAACGGAAGTGATAGGGACCATTGATGGGGTGAATGCATATATAAGCGCGGTGAAGAGGGCGGTCCTGGGCCCTTCTTGATTCGGTGTGACGAGTGAGTGTTATACGAGTGTGGTACGGTTTCTACTTATTTTTTTCTTTCGGTCTTTATCTTAAACCTTAAAACTAAGGCTTTGTTATATTATAATAAACATTTCTTTTATTTCGATTCAATAAAATCTTATATATATATATATATATATTTTTCTGTCTGTCTGAAACCACGCCAACCACCACACCATCACCCCTACATAAGATTCGTTAAAAGTAATTTACTGCACAGCTAACCCAGTGAACACAAGACCTTAAAATGATATCACACATAGGTCATACAGTAATCTTCAAATTTTTTCGTAGAMATGACGTAATGGTAACTTATTTAGACCCTCAATATAAAGTCATATGTTCTGACTTAAAAATAAGGTAATAATCCCATCATAATTTTACAGCAAAAAACGAAAGGTTGAAATGTTTTTTTTTTTGAAAAACTTTGTATTTTAAGACTATAAATTAAGTATATAATATTGTAAAATTGTTTAATTGCATAATTTATTTAAAAAAAAAAAAATAAATTAAAATTTGTTTTCAATTAAATAAAAAAAATAGGAAACTAACTMAGCTTACTCTTGGACTGGCAGGGATAATCGCAGATTTAGACAAAGTTTCTTTTGTAGAAAATAAAAAAAAAATGAAAAATAACGAACTTCAAGAAAATAACGAGTTTTTTCGAAATAAATGCGAAAATTTTGTGGATTTTATAATTTTGAAATTTTTTGGTATTTTTTTCTGARAAGTACATTTAAAACAAATATTTAAAAAAAACGTTCTAATAGATTGAATTTTAAAGAAGTTRTAGCCATTTCAAAAAAAGAGACATTTTTTCAAAAATTAAAAATTTTTTTTTGGTTTGGTAAAAAAATTTGAAAAAATTTAAAAATTTTTTTTGATAGGATAGCATAGGATAAAAAACTTTCAGCCAAATCGAAAGGGGTCAGGGTCAAAAGTGACCGATTTAACGTGGAATTCCATATATATATATATATATAATCAAACCTTCATGTGTACTGATTTCTGTCTCTGAATATCTTTTGAACGCTTAATTTAATCGCCAAAACATAAGACATCATTTTTATAGAGCAGTTAATTTCCTACAAAAACCGATACTACGGTGAGACAACTAAAAGACAGGTACTAGGAGATCTTTTCAAAGCGACTAGAAAGAGACTTTTACGGGCTCCAGAAACAGATGTGGCGATTCATAAGAAACCAAAAAAAAGAAACAAACGAAGTAATACCCGCTAGTCAAATTAGTAAGGAAACGTGGATCAGTTACTTTAAAGACCTATATAAAGGTGCACCTATGCAACAACCAGCACCGAGTGTGGTAATAGACGACCAGATATCAATAAATGAGTCGGACATAAAAAAAGCACTGAATAAACTCAAAAATAGGAAAAGTCCGGGTCAGGATGATATCACTAACGAACTGCTCAAGTATGGCTGCGAAAGATTGCTTCAGGAGTTAACGGTCTTAACACAAAAAATTTTTGAACAACAAAAAATTCCCGACGAGTGGCGGACAAGTACAACAATTCTTCTCTTTAACACTTAGCCGACCACGCGCGCCGCAGCGAGCTGTACGGTTTCCACCACGCTCGAGCAACCAAAACTACGCTGTCCACCACGCATTATTCGCAAGTGACACGTACTGATATGCGGTATTTGAAAWCAAAGTAGTTTAAAAATTATTTAAGTGTCATTTATATCTTGGGGTAACAATTTTATTTAACGATTTCACATATTGTTTATACAAATTACCAACATATATATCCCGATAATTCTTAGGTTTGTTTATGGTTTTATGGCCCTCCTAAACTTTCCCTTTAGTTTCTGAATAGAGTTCTCCTTTCCAGAAAATAAAATGTAACAAAAAGAACTGAATACTAGTTTTTTTTCCTACACTATAAAGATAATTAAACGAAAAAAAAACGCGTTCCTAAGATCACTATGGGAGATCTCCCTGATCGGTCGGGCACCGATCTACATTGAGACGGGGAGATCTCCCCGAGTGGTCGGCTAAGTGTTAAGAAAGGCGACAAGAATTACACCCGCGAATTACAAGGGAATAAATCTACTGTCCTCCACCCTGAAATAAGTGACCAAAGTCATAACGAACCTGATAAACGAGCGAATCACATTAGCAGATGAGCAACAAGGCTTCCGAACTGGACGATCATGCACAGATGCAGCGTTTGTGATCAGGCAAATAACAGAAAAGTCCATAGAATACAATAAACCAGCATTTTTCTGTTTTATAGATCTAGAAAAGGCGTTCGACYGGATACAGCTGGAGGATATAGTGCACCTTCTATATGACAGACAAATACCGAGTAACATCATCARAACTATCGAAGACATCTATCGGAATAATCGAATACAGGCAAAGATAAACAACGAACTCAAAGAACTCATAATGGTGGAAAGAGGTATTCGACAGGATGACTCACTGAGCCCCCTACTTTTTAACATTATAATGGACGAAATCATAAAGAAGGTGAGCGAACAAAGAGGATATCGAATAGGGAACCGTGAGATAAAAATCTCGTGTTACGCTGATGATGCAGTCCTGATAGCAGAAAATGAGGATGACCTGCAAAGGCTCCTGTATACGTTCAACATAATTGCCAAGACACTCGGGATGTCTATATCAACATCCAAGACTGAATGCATGACTACATCTAAAACACCCCTAAGATGTAAATTGGTTGTCGATGGCAAATTAATACAACAAGGGATAGAATTCAGCTACTTAGGCATAAAAGTTTCGAGCTTCGGTGACATAGAGTCAGAAGTAAGAGGACAAGCCATTAAGGCAGCTAGAACAGCCTCTCTATTAAACGACACCATATTAATTAATTATTAATGAAACTAGCACCTATGAATAGATGCAAAAGCGCGTATATACAAAACCGCTATAAGGCCTATACTAACATATGCGGCAGAAACAAGACCTGAAACATCTAAARCACGCCAAATCATGGAAGTAACTGAAATGAAGATAGTTCGCAGAATAGCTGGGAAATCACTATGGGACAGGGTAAGAAGCAAAGGCCTTAGGAAAGCATGSCAGATCGAGAACATYAACGACTGGATATTAAGCAGAAAAGTAGAGTGGAATGACCACATCACTCGCATGACTGATGACCRAGTGGTCAAAATATCCCAAGATAAGTCACAATAAAGACGAAGAGTTGGAAGACCTCGAAAGCGCTGAAGCGACAGCAGTGATCCYATTCGTACGATAATTATCGCACWCGTCACATAWTGTGCACCATTGTACGATCGTAAATCCAACTTGTACGATAATTTACGATAATTCGATATGTAAATATAATTTTCGGTATGTCTCGATTTTGTTTTTGTTTTGATTGCAGCCCAGCACTCGCTCAGCTATTTATGTATCGTTGCATCGAAAAGTTTGAAAATAAAAAAGTTGATATCTACTACTCGGTATGCGGTATTCGGATGGTCATAACATACATAGTCGCATAGCAGCAGCATCGCAGCATCATAGCACATAGCATTAGCATAGTCGAAAAGAAGGATCGAAAAAAACGACAAGACAAGATCGTGAAAATATACTTTTTTTACTTTTTTTGCACTTTTGCATAAAAAAAAACCAAGACAAAAACTTATTTTTCTGTGCGTACGATAATTTTACGGCACTGTGTCGATCAGACAAGCAAAAGTGTCTGGGATCACTGAGCGACAGTCTGACTATATGAAGCGTGTCGCGATGAAGAACAGGCATTGTACCTACTTAAATGAAAAAAGAAGAAGAAAAAATTTCTCATTATACACGTTGATGTATTTTTATGTTCTTTATTAATTAAAGGCTGATAATTAATTTAAATAACAAGAGAATTCGTATTCGATTACAGATTGAATATTGTTAATTTTTTTTAGTTACAAAAGTAAAAATGCATTATACATGCATATCTTTATATGTCTCTTATTTAATTCTATCCTGATCAGTGGAATATATTTTGACATTAGCAACTACAAATATACAATTTCAAGGTTACAAAAAGAAAAAAAACACAAAAGAAAGGCAACATTGACAATTAGCAATAAATTATATAATGTAACAAAAAAAATATTCCTTTTATTTTAATTAAATAAATATATTATTTAATTTAATTTATAATTTATTAAATATGAGAATTCGCAGTAAAAAAGTTAAATTTTATATACGTAGTAAGAAATGTGTAATTTATTTTATTATATTTTTTAGCTTTTTTTTAGAGTCGAATTAATATAAAATAGAATAGAAATTYATAATTAATTAAATATATSTRATAAGAAAGAWAATCTAGATGAAGCTTTAKTTTTTACACAGRATATCAAAAAGAATGAAAACTAACCAATCAGCTTGCMGATATTCGGCGYCATTTTAATATTTAAAKMRCTCTTAGAAACATTGAGATCGTTTAAAAGAAAATAACAGATCAATTCTGCTTGAACGGGTCGTAAATGATGTTGTTTCACCYATTCATGAATATGTTTACTGCACATTATAGACAACTTTTTTAGTCCTTTGTAGAYATTAATGATAATACTTTTWTTTATAGAGTATTYMCGTTTAAGGCTGGACTTTAAACATGAAATATAACAAAATGCTGATATTCYCAAGGTATCGAGGTAAGCGCCAAATCATTTTCGCCGTCTTATTGTTACGATATGATCGATGTCCTACGCTTTTCTCCTCCTTTATTCTATTTTCTAAACAATGGTGATCAAAGAACGATTTTTAGCTAATGCTTTCCTCTTGAATGGGTCACTAAACATAATTTCTTGCATTTAATCGGGTTTTTTTTCCTAAATTCGCTCTGCCACCGGCGAGATTAATGCTGGAGTAAAAAATGTCACGTATACGTGACAGCGGCTGTCCGTGTTAACATTATGTACTGTTCCTAATGCTGTTCACATATGAAAATAGAAATGAAAGATATAAATAAGCAGTTATATATGTATATGCATTTATTAGGGGGACCGAAATGGAATCAAAATTTTTCTTTGATTACGAAAAATATATTATATTTAAAAATTATTTCCATCCTTCGTTAACACAATACGCCAGGAAAGAGGCATTTGTTCGATATTATATTTAAAAACGGTTATGTGTTTGAAAATATTGTCTAAGGAGGATTTTACTTCATCAACATTGTTAAAGTTTTTACGTTTAAAAGTAGTTTCTAATATTGTGAAAAGAAAATGCGACGGCAAGAGATCTAATGAATACGGTGGATGAGGTAAAAGTTCCAATCCAAGCTCCGTTATTTTTTTCTGTACTATATCTGCAGCGTTTCGCCATGCTTTTTCTTGTTGAAGGATCCTGTTTTTTCTATTGACCAAATCAGATCCTTTTTGAAGTGAAAACTGCTTTAGAATGGGAGTGATCTGAAAAGTAAATAAACGGAAACGAAGCTATGTAACGAAGTAATGAAATGGTTGTTATACTAAATAATGAGAGAAAAAGAGACAAACATATAGGATTTAGCCTGCGAGAGAATGAGACGGAACATAGCTATACAGTTTTTCCTATTCTCGGTCTCCTCCTTATGCTATGCTTCGTAGTTATCGCTCCTGGTTGTATATGTGTGCGTTTGTGTGCGACTGCATACTACAAAGCGTGGACAAGTATTCTTTCGATACTCCAAATGTTTGTAGGTAGGAGCGATAGAAGGGTAGAAGAATAAACAGAGATAAGCACGTAGGTATGCGACAAAAGTATAAGGTCCAAACAAACCGACGGTCGAAATAAAGAAAGAAGGTGCGTGGTCTGTTTTTATTTTACCAAACGTGTAATTTCTTTTCTATTTAAAAATGTTTCTATTTTATTAGGAAATTAATATTAAATTATTATTTTTTTCGCAAATATTATAATTAACAATTATGAATATATATAGATATATATAGAATATATATAGATATGAATATATATAGAAATATATAGAATATAATAATTGTATTGTCTGCAATATTTTACAAAAAAATAAAATGATTATCAAATATATCAGAGAAAAAAATTAAACAACATTGTAGAATATTTTTCTTATAAATATTCAAAGACATGCTTTTTAATTATAATGTTTGCGTATTTAGGAAATTTATACTAATTTTTCAATAAAACAGAAAAGTTTTTAAATACAAGAAACTAGACACGTTACAAAAACAAATAAACCTTATTTACTTTATATTTCCAATAAGAATAAAATAATATAACTTATTTTACAAATATAGAAAAAAAAATATAGAAAAAAATAATTTTTTTAAATTTTTAATATTATAAAATAAAACAATGGAAATGATAAATAGATTTTAAAATCTTTATAATTCAAAACCCGATGAAACGAAAAAGATACGACCACAATTGTTTCCTTCTTTAACAGCATATACAGTTATTAACATAAAAAGAAATTCTTGTGTATGCTAACCCATAATAAAGATATCTCTCATTCACAGAAAGTGTGAAAAGTGTAAGAGGAAAAAAATTCATCTACCTGAGTTTCAAAAAAATATATATTATATTTACTTGGATTAGGACGGCGTATCTTTCTGTCGACAAATATTCTACAATTTTCGTCTCTATCTATAGCTATCGCATTTAGCATTCCATCTTGATGGATAGAATTTGGAAAATATTAGTTTTTTTCAATTTTCTACACCCCAAGATCGGTTCCTTATCATGAGAAAAGAAAAATAAAAAACAGGGAAGGTCTGCTGAAATTCGATCTACATTTATTATCTTTATTATCGTTGCGATAATATTCATGCCTATAGTTTTTTTTTACAACTTGTTACATCATTTTTATTTAAAAATGTTTCTATTTTATTGAAAAATTAGAATTAAATTCTTTATTTAGCAAATATTAGAATAAATGATTATGAAGTATATAGAATATATAATAATTGTATTGTCTGAAATATTAAAAAAAAAAAAAAGGATTACCAGATACATCAGAGAAAAAGAATTAGAGAATACTGTGGAATAAATAAGGAGCAGCTGACAAATTCCATTCAAAAGCAAGTAAATTACTGTTATATTTTTATTTTGCTTCTTTAAAAAATATATTTGATGCATAAAGACAAAATATGTCTATTCAATTTGATTTTTATATGAAAAATATCCAAAGAGATTTACTGACCCATGCATATATATAAATTATATTATAAATTATGATATTTGCGTATTTAAGAAACTTAGAGTAATTTTTTAATAAAATAAAAACATTTGTAACAGGTTGAACGCATGGCGTGAATTGGTGGAGCTTACCACGGAGCTGAAATTTGAGACTCGTAGTGTACACAGTTCGATAAACTGAGAGAGCGATAAGATTCAATGCATTTTTTAGATTTTTCGTATTTTAGATCTTTATTTAAATGAGAGTATTTAGAAAGATAAGTTTTTGGTCCAAAGAATAAGGACGAGATATGTTATAAATAATAAGGGTCTCGAAGTGTTGTAGGCTACAGAGTTGAAAAAACATTTCTAGAGAATATATTTTTTAGATCTTTCATTGCATTTTACCAGAACTTCGTTCAGTCCAGCAGTATTTTCCATATGTTTTTCGTAACGTCWTTATTTCATTTATCCTAAAATGCTTGTTATACAGCGCAAGAATGTAGATGAAAACAGGAAATTGAAAACCRTAATAACAAAAACAATTTTATACCTGAGTTTCAAAAAAAAGGATTATTTATATTTATCGAATTTCTGACGAATTATATTTCCTTTGATAAACATCCTACYATTTTGGTGTCTATTTATAACTATCGCATTCCGYATTCCGTTTTTATTCCTTGAATTGTGAAAAGCTCACTTTTTATCAGCTATTACACCCAAAGACCATACYRGTGACCTTTATTATATATATTAATAATATTATAAAAAATAAATCCTACAATTATCTTACTCTTAAAACTGTCAATTCRTCTCATTCTCTCRAAACTTAGATTTTTGAAGATTTCACTTCTAACACGTGTGATCTGCACACATRATTTTTTTTTCATAAATAGTTAGTTTAATATYTTAAAAATATGCCCATAATTTTTAGAATAAAATTAGCATTATGTATCGATTAAAAATTTATTTAAGTGCTCCGCCTCAACTSGGCGCTAGACGTGAACGCTAAACTTTGAACGCTTATTTCTCAAAAGGACTTTTTTCAAACTAACGTG